CACTAGTCACCCTTCTATATATTAAGGACATATCTGAAATAGCCACCAGATTACTCAGGCCCCTAGGATTCATGGTGTCCCACAAACAGACAGCTACACTGTGACAGCTTCTGACGAGAATAAAGGATCCGACAACCACGACTAACAGATCCAACGTTATTTACTAGATACCATGCAAAGACTGCCAAAAACGTTACGTAGGGCAAACCAGAAGGAAACTGGCAATCAGGATTCACGATTATCAACTACCTACCAAGAGTCATGACTAACTATCAATCACTCATTTCAATTCACATGGACAAAGATAGATACCAATTCGACTGGGACAACATAGCCATCCGAGGACAAGCCAAGCAAAGACACGCATGAGAATTCCAGGAGACCTGGCCACTCAACCGGAATTCCATTAAAAAAACACGTAGAACTGAACCCCATATACCAACCACTAAGAAACAAATCCTGAAATGATGCCACTCACCCCAACAAACCAAGACACAAATAGCAAATGGGACAGAATACTGACGTTTCAGCAGAGGTGTACTGATGATGTTACCTAGCATGGTGATGAAATGTTTGAGAACAAATTTACCAGCTTGGCAACTAAGTCAACAACTGCATCAACAACCCAAGCTACAAATCTTCTCGGAAACCTTGAACGTGGACACTTGCCCAGATATTTGTCATTTATATAAATGCTTTAATGAGAATATAGAAGGCATGGTTAGTAAGTTTGCAGTTGATGCCAAAATTGGTGAAATAGTGGAAGGTTATCCAAGATTACTAAAGATATCTTAATCAAATGGGTCAATGGGCTAAGGAGTGGCAGATTAAGCTTTATCTTGATAAATCCAAGGTATTGCGTTTGGGTAAAACAAACAAGGGCAGGACTTATACAATTAAAAGTAGGGCCTTGGGTAGTGTTGTACAACAGAGAGACCTCGGGGTTCAGGTACATAATTCTTTGAAGTTTGCATCACATGTAGAGCGGGTGGTTAAGGTGGCGTTTAGCACGCTTGCCCTCATTGCTCAGACCTTTTGATTATAGGAGTTGGGTTGTCATGTCAAGGTTGTACTGGATGTTGGCCTCTTCTGGAGTACTGTGTCCAGGTCACGTCGCCCTATAATAGTTATTATTATTAAGCTGAAGTCAATAGGAATGAGGCTGAACACAGGCCCATGATTGCAGTCAAACCCAGCACAGATGAAGGTGGGGGGAGGGGTTGTTGTGGTTGCTGGACGTCAATCAAACCTGATCCGGGATATCACTGCAGGGGTTCACCGATATAGTGTCCTAAGCCAAACCACCTTTAGTTGCTTCCATGGCTTTCCCTCCATCAGAAAGTCACAAGTGGGGATATTTGCTGACAACTGCGAATGTTCAGCACCATTCTGACTCCTCAGATACTGAAGTAGTCTGTAGTCCGATTGTAGGAGGACCTGGACAACATTTAGGACCAGGCTTAGCAGCAAGGCATTATTATTGTTGAATTCCCTACTTGAGAGCAGTAGAATCCACCCAACTCTCCATAGCCTGGCTACTATCTATAAGGTACAGGTTAGGAGTGTTGCAGAATACTCCCCATTTGCCTGGATAAGTGTAACTCCAACAATACAAAGTTCAACATCATCCAGGATGAAGCATCCTGCTTGACTAACAGCAGATCCAAAACATTCACTCCATCACTGATGCTCAATAGCAATGGTGTATACCACCTACGAAATGCACTGTATAATTTCACCAATATTTCTTAGACAGTACATTCCACGGCTGTGACCACTACCGCATTGAAGATCAAGGACATTAGGTAAATTAGAACATCACCACCTGACTGTTCCTTTCCAACCCACTTACTACCCTGTCCTGGAACTACATTGCTTTCCTTCAGGTGTTGCTGGGTCAAAGTTTTGGAGCTCCCTCACTAAAACTATTTGGGGTTCAAGAAGTCAGCTCACCACTTCCCTCTCAAGGGAAACCAGGGATGGACATTAAAATACTTCTTCAGCCAGTAACACACTCATCCCATGGATAAATTATAAAAATCATCCCAACTAGGCTCAGTATCCCACACTTAAAAATTCAATACTAAAATGCTTCAACTAAATTACAGACTCTTTTAACACTAGCTATCATAGATTACATTAAATGACCAGCATATGCAATGTAACAGTCAAGAGACCATGATTAAACATCATTTATTTCTAGCTGAATTAAAACTAACATGAACATATTAAATGCTCACATTAATCAAAGTCAGAAGTCATATGACACCAAGCTATATTCCCAGTTACTTCACCTGACAAAGCAGCAGCGCTCAGAGCTTGTGATTTCAAATAAACCTGTAGGACTATAACCTGGTATCGTGTGACTTCTCACTTTGTCCACCCCAGTCCAATCCCAGTACCTCCACATCATGGCACATAAATCAAGCATTTTACGGTGCCAGTAGAATAATCTTTGAACTAAGCAAAGGCTAGTTACTTCTGATTGTTCATGCAGTTCTGTTCCAAGAAAGTACATTAACCAAAGAAAACAGCAGTTTCAGATTAAACAAAGCAAATTTGAAACCAGATATCATCCACATCAAATAAAGACTGAAACTGTTCTAAAACTTTTAAAAGACAAGTCTATTACAAGAAACACAATTTTAATGTGAAAATAAATAACGTATTGTAATTTTTTTTAAGAGCCAAAAATCTAATTGCTTATTTTCATGCCATTGAAAGAAGTAACTCCACTATATTTTTATACTATACATCAAGTTACAATATTTAAAAAAAATAGGATTTCCTTGAAAAGCTCAGGTGGGTCTGGCAGCATCTGTGAAGAGCAATCAGAGTTCAAGTTCAGTGACCCTTCTTCAGAACAGTTTTGAGAAATGCTCATCCAAACCGAAACGTTAACTTAAAAAGGCACACTGGATCTTTGGATTTAATAATAGAGGCATAGTGAACTGAAGTATGTTAAGCATACATCAATCATAGTCAATCATTAGCTAGAATATTATCATTAATTCGGGGCACCATACTTCAAGGAGGATGATAAAGCTGCAGAGTGGCACAAAATAAATATACCAGCATTATACCAGGAATAAAGGATTCCAGTTATGTGGACAGACTAGAGAGGTTGGGACTGTTTTCCTGAGAACAAAGGAAGAAAGAGGAGATGGAGGTGTCCAAACAGTTTCCAGTAGCAGAAGGGTCAGGAATCAAGAATCAAGGTGGAGAGATTTAAGTTAATTGGCAAAGAACCAGAGGCTACACAAGCTAACAAAAATATTATTCAACCAGTACTCACATGATCTGAAATGAGGTGGATGCAGATTCAAAAATTACTTTTAATGGAGAGTTGGATAAATACTTAAAAGAGAGATTTGATGGACTGTGGGAAAGAGCAGGGGACTGAGACTGATCGAATAGTTCTTTCAAAGAATTGATATAGGCCACTGAGTCAAATGCCATCCTTCATTAAAGTTCAAGATATATGAACAACAAATTTTAAATTTTTTTTCAGTGCAACAAACCTAAATGAAACTGCAAACTTGATACTGGTTTCTGATCAGCCCAAGGCAAAATATGATCAACTTCTCTTTACATGTAGCCTTGAACAAAACCAGAATCTCAAAACCACTTTAACTGACTACAATTAAGTCATTTTTGAGAAATTCTTCTTGTATGGTAAAATGGCTGTGCGACCTCTGACTCAAGTGGCAGTGCAACAGACCAACTAAGAGCCATCAATCTCCTACTAACAGATAACAATCAGACAACCTGATGTTGCATATATCTACACAGTTCATCCCACTACATGTCAATGTCTACCAAAATTTCCAACATTTAAATATGAACCTGGATTCCTTATTGAGAGACAATGCAAGTTTAAGAGGGTTGGCAATCAGTGTCGAGCTCCTTAAATCTTTCACCTTCGTTCCATGTAAAAAAAAGATCCGACTTGCTGTACGTGCTTGATACCAACTACTCTAAAGTAAACTGGAATTAAGTTTACACCCATCTTGCTAAAATAAAGTCCAAACAAGCTTTCTCTGGCTGGTCAGATATTTCACCAAGTTAAAACACTACAATATGCAACTTAAAGTTAGTTTTATTATTGCTGGATTGGGTCCATTACATTCAATCCAAATCTTAAAACTAGGAGCTAATGGCACCACAGAGAGAGAGGAGTTGACTGAAGACAATCTAAACAAAACAACACTTTGGTCCAAAACAGAACACTATAGCAAATACAGTACCACAGTCAACAGCTCACTATAAATGCTGACTTAAAGTGGCTAAAACAACAATGAATAAAATAATTTATCTTCGTGTGTGCAGACAAGGGACAAAACTGTTGTCAATGATTTTACTAAAAACTGAGAATGGAGAGAAACTGAGAACTGACAATTAGGCTTTACATACAATCCAAAAACAAGTACAGCACTGCAATCTTTTATTCTCCTGTGAGTTGCCTTGTGGAATTAGTATTTGTAAATGGAAGGAGAATGAGAAGATCAACTTTTTAAACTACCATTTATATGTTTCATTGGGACATAACAAGTCACATAAAGCAAATTATATTTAAAATAAACTGGAATAAATTACAATTTCATTGACCAAGTCAACTTTGTATTGTTGTATGCGGAATGAGTTGCTGAAACAAAAGGTGCAATACAGATGTCCAGGTTGGATACCTCTATAATATTCAACGTGAATCAAAGGGATCAGTTCAAATGATTACTCTCAGCAACTCAAAACCCTCATAATTCATCTGTAAAGCCACCTCAGTTTTTAAAATTTTATATATATTTTCTCCCTATGTATAGTTTCTCAACTGGAAAAAGGGAGAAAAAATAATTTAGTCCACATTCATTTCTAATCCCCCGAAGAAAAATAAAGATTCATTTTACCACATTACATTTTACAAATCAAGTACTTTGGTTATTTTCCACAGTTTCAAAATATAAAAAACAATTGCTATTAAAATTCTGCCACATGCAGATACTTACACACTACTATCTGTCAGTGACATGGTATCGGCATCACTTGACATACTCTGCTGCTCACTGTCATTAGCGCTCGTTGCTGGTGCCAAAGCATACCCTGTGTTGACATAGTAAGGGTTCACAGGTTCCCGCCATGACCCATGTCTGGATAACAGAAAAAAAATTATGCAAAATCATGCTAAAATTAATTATGACTTATTCATCTTAGAAAACTAAATATCACTATTTAATCTGGACTCAAAATTCAAATCAATGCCATGGGTGTATATATCATTGTTAAAAGATCTGGTTATTTTTGCAGTTTGAAAAAAAAAAAATCACAACATTCACGAGTTCTAAAAACATAGCAGACAAAGCAAGTTAACAAACTTAATCTTTTGCTGTAATTGAGGTCCAATCATGACTTCAGATTTTCAAATCATTAAAAATAAACTAATGTGCCGCATGTATATCAGATACTGTGAAGAGTCCACAACTGCCATAATCCAGCTTTTGACAATCTAGTTCAAGTATATTTCCAGTATATTTCTTGAGACAGAGATATCACAACATGTATACCCTTTCAAACTGCACTGGCATAGATGCTGTAGCATTTGTTCTTGCCAATCAAAAACCAGAAAGTACTATTGTAGAATCAATGTTAGCAGAATCTATGAGGCCTCAAAAACAAACATTGTAGCAGAAAGTTAAATTTTTGAAATAATTCAACTTGGTAAAGAATTAAGAAAATTATCCCATGCCTTAGGGAGCCTTGCTTATATTACATCAATGGGACTAGTAAACCATGTAAGCACACTGTAAAAAGCTGCAAGTTGAAAAATCAAGCTTTCACAGAGAATGCTGATCCAAAGTTAAAATCTTCTACTCAGGATATTATGAACAATAGATTTTCCGTATTTAACCACATTCTTATCGCCACACTTTAGAAAAAAAATGATGGTTCTTGAGAGGGTGTAGAGACAGGTTTTACCAGAATGGCTCCAAGTTGCAGTGGGTTGTGAGGGAAGAGTTATAAGACTAGGCTAGAAAGGTTGGCTTGTTATCCTTGGAGAAAAAGGAGACTGAAGGGAGACTTGGTAGAGTTGTACAAGATTAAGTCAGACTTAGGAAAATAGACAAGAAAGAAAAAGACTATTACCTGATGGTACAAGGCATACAGGTCACAGATTTAAGATTCTGGACAAGCAGTACAGTGGGGACAAGACTGGACGAACATGTTTATGCAGTGAATGCTAATAGCTTGAAGTTCACATACCATGATGGCAATGGAAGTAAAAAAAAAAATCATTCATGCCTAAAGGAAACTGGATGGACTCAAAGGAAATAAACTTGTAAGGCTATGGGATTGCGCAGAGGGAGTGGAACTAATTGGATTGTTCTGTGAGGAACTGGCGTGGACCTCGTGGTTTGAGTGGCCTCCTTTTGTGCCATAAAGTTCTCTCTATGACTGTGACGTAAAGCCTTATTTGAAGTTTTTGCTAAAAAAAAAAAGAAATTGCAAATTGTTTGGCTGGCTAGTCTTCTAGATCATCCACACCAATAAATCTAAAGGATAATTCTTAATATAACCGAATCCATTGAGGAAAGTTGTTTGAGGTGGAATAAATTTGTGCATCAGCTGAAGGACTTTTTTTTGTTTCATTATGATCAGGCCAAACACTGGAAAATTACAGTGAGTGTATGTAGAAAGTATGCAATGGCATAACTATTTAGTTTTAAGTCAAGAAGTACATCATGATTCTGCCTCTGTGCTCTGCATCTGTCTTTGCTTGACGGGTCAATGTACAAGAGACATGCTAAAGCAGAATGCTGAGGACTTGCTTGGCTTTGTCCAACAATTTGGTATTGCCTGAAATCTTCAATATGATAGCAGCAAAGGCTCCTGTCTCCAGAACAGTGCATGAGATTTGGCACGTGAATGGCAAAGTATGCGCTCGTGTGATTAGCTCCTGGTCCATTTGCCTCATACGGACATGAATCATCCGCTTAGAGATAGAGTCGAAGTACAAGTATTTTGCTACACTTAGCAAACAGAGTAGTATAAACATGCCAATATTTGCAGGTTGTGGGCAGTTGGGGGGGGGGGGGGGAAGGGGTAAAAAGCAGAGTGATGAGGAGGGGCAGCACAACGTGTTCACAGAACTGCAGAAACTTGCTGTCATGTACATGCTTTCCAAGTATACTATAAACCCAAAGCATCTGCATTAGCAAAACTTTTGCAGATTTGGACATCCTCTTAAAAAAAAATGCAAAAAACTGGCTCCCACAGATATGAACAATACAGAAATACTTCAAATAAACTAACTTATTCTGAACCTTAAAAACATATTTTATCTGTGCTCCAAAAGGATTCTACTGATTACAAGAAGTCACAAGATGATTAGGACACCAATTCAATTTTAGTAGTTTTATATTAGTCATATCATGAATTTCACAACTATTTTCACTGGATAGCAGCGTGTCCTGGACATGAAGAGAAGATGCCATAGAATGGTAGGACTGAGATCGATAATGATCCGGATAATAGTGCCTCTCCAAGACAATATTGCTAAGCCTAAAGTTAAGCACTTTTTGACCACAGGGAAACATTTAAAAGATGACACGCCCAACTCCTTAGAGCTCAGGGCTAGTTGCATGTATTGAAAATCAGTAAGCGACTAGCGAATAATTGTGCAGTCATGAAAGCCTCTATGCACCAAAAAAAAATGGGGAGAGCCAACAAGGTCTGTACCCTCCTTTCCTACAATCTTTTGTCTCCAACTCTCCTTTGAAGACCAACTCCTTGTCTTGCCATTTCTCTGTTTCTAGCTCTTCTCTTCCGTCATTTTACATCACAATAAAACTTTAAAGAATCGATTACTTTTAAGGATTTAATCATTCTTCAAACAAAATAAAAAATTGGCCGTCAGTACAATAGCAGGAGAAATGTGGTTGGGCCCACTAAAGCAGTATGGGGGTGAAAGACAGAATGTTTCAGCTCCTTAAAGATCGCCAGGCTTCATGACGGAAAGAAAAACTGATCCCTGATGGTGACTAGAGAACAATATAATCCAGTTCTTCATTTCCAGCGACTTTGTGCAGCTGGAAGGTGCTGAATTTGCTTTGTGCACATAAGAAAGGGAGCTTGCTGGCTGCAGATGGCCTTTTAGCCACATCTTGAAAATCACCGCAATGGAGGCATCAACTGCCATACTAATGTATGACCAAAGCAGATGAGAGAGAAAAACAAAATAATAATAATAATAATAATAATAATAATAATAATAATAATAATAA